GGTCTTTGGTCTCTGTGTGTTTCACCTGGTCTTTGGTCTCTGTGTGTTTTACCTGGTCTTTGGTCTCTGTGTGTTTCACCTGGTCTTTGGTCTCTGTGTGTTTTACCTGGTCTTTGGTCTCTGTGTGTTTCACCTGGTCTTTGGTCTCTGGTGGTTTACCTGGTCTTTGGTCTCTGTGTGTTTCACCTGGTCTTTGGTCTCTGTGTGTTTTCACCTGGTCTTTGGTCTCTGTGTGTTTTACCTGGTCTTTGGTCTCTGTGTGTTTCACCTGGTCTTTGGTCTCTGTGTGTTTTACCTGGTCTTTGGTCTCTGTGTGTTTCACCTGGTCTTTGGTCTCTGTGTGTTTTACCTGGTCTTTGGTCTCTGTGTGTTTCACCTGGTCTTTGGTCTCTGTGTGTTTTACCTGGTCTTTGGTCTCTGTGGTTTCACCTGGTCTTTGGTCTCTGTGTGTTTCACCTGGTCTTTGGTCTCTGTGTGTTTCACCTGGTCTTTGGTCTCTGTGTGTTTCACCTGGTCTTTGGTCTCTGTGTGTTTTACCTGGTCTTTGGTCTCTGTGTGTTTTACCTGGTCTTTGGTCTCTGTGTGTTTCACCTGGTCTTTGGTCTCTGTGTGTTTCACCTGGTCTTTGGTCTCTGTGTGTTTTCACCTGGTCTTTGGTCTCTGTGTGTTTCACCTGGTCTTTGGTCTCTGTGTGTTTTACCTGGTCTTTGGTCTCTGTGTGTTTTACCTGGTCTTTGGTCTCTGTGTGTTTCACCTGGTCTTTTTCTCTGTGAGTGTTTCACCTGGTCTTTGGTCTCTGTGTGTTTTCACCTGGTCTTTGGTCTCTGTGTGTTTTCACCTGGTCTTTGGTCTCTGTGTGTTTTACCTGGTCTTTGGTCTCTGTGTGTTTACCTGGTCTTTGGTCTCTGTGTGTTTCACCTGGTCTTTGGTCTCTGTGTGTTTTCACCTGGTCTTTGGTCTCTGTGTGTTTACCTGGTCTTTGGTCTCTGTGTGTTTTACCTGGTCTTTGGTCTCTGTGTGTTTCACCTGGTCTTTGTCTCTGTGTGTTTTCACCTGGTCTTTGGTCTCTGTGTGTTTTCACCTGGTCTTTGGTCTCTGTGTGTTTTACCTGGTCTTTGGTCTCTGTGTGTTTCACCTGGTCTTTTCTCTGTGTGTTTCACCTGGTCTTTGGTCTCTGTGTGTTTTCACCTGGTCTTTTTCTCTTGTGTTTTCACCTGGTCTTTGGTCTCTGTGTGTTTACCTGGTCTTTGGTCTCTGTGTGTTTCACCTGGTCTTTGGTCTCTGTGTGTTTTACCTGGTCTTTGGTCTCTGTGTGTTTCACCTGGTCTTTGGTCTCTGTGTGTTTCACCTGGTCTTTGGTCTCTGTGTGTTTTCACCTGGTCTTTGGTCTCTGTGTGTTTCACCTGGTCTTTGGTCTCTGTGTGTTTTACCTGGTCTTTGGTCTCTGTGTGTTTCACCTGGTCTTTGGTCTCTGTGTGTTTTACCTGGTCTTTGGTCTCTGTGTGTTTCACCTGGTCTTTGGTCTCTGTGTGTTTACCTGGTCTTTGGTCTCTGGTGTTTCACCTGGTCTTTGGTCTCTGTGTGTTTTACCTGGTCTTTGGTCTCTGTGTGTTTCACCTGGTCTTTGGTCTCTGTGCGTTTCACCTGGTCTTTGGTCTCTGTGTGTTTCACCTGGTCTTTGGTCTCTGTGTGTTTCACCTGGTCTTTGGTCTCTGTGTGTTTCCTGGTCTTTGGTCTCTGTGTGTTTCACCTGGTCTTTGGTCTCTGTGTGTTTCACCTGGTCTTTGGTCTCTGTGTGTTTTACCTGGTCTTTGGTCTCTGTGTGTTTTACCTGGTCTTTGGTCTCTGTGTGTTTCACCTGGTCTTTGGTCTCTGTGTGTTTCACCTGGTCTTTGGTCTCTGTGTGTTTCACCTGGTCTTTGGTCTCTGTGTGTTTTACCTGGTCTTTGGTCTCTGTGTGTTTCACCTGGTCTTTGGTCTCTGTGTGTTTCACCTGGTCTTTGGTCTCTGTGTGTTTACCTGGTCTTTGGTCTCTGTGTGTTTTACCTGGTCTTTGGTCTCTGTGTGTTTCACCTGGTCTTTGGTCTCTGTGTGTTTCACCTGGTCTTTGGTCTCTGTGTGTTTTACCTGGTCTTTGGTCTCTGTGTGTTTCACCTGGTCTTTGGTCTCTGTGTGTTTTTACCTGGTCTTTGGTCTCTGTGTGTTTCACCTGGTCTTTGGTTCTGTGTGTTTCACCTGGTCTTTGGTCTCTGTGTGTTTCACCTGGTCTTTTTCTCTTGTGTTTTTCACCTGGTCTTTGGTCTCTGTGTGTTTTTACCTGGTCTTTGGTCTCTGTGTGTTTCACCTGGTCTTTGGTCTCTGTGTGTTTTCACCTGGTCTTTGGTCTCTGTGTGTTTTACCTGGTCTTTGGTCTCTGTGTGTTTCACCTGGTCTTTGGTCTCTGTGTGTTTTACCTGGTCTTTGGTCTCTGTGTGTTTCACCTGGTCTTTTCTCTGTGAGTTTTACCTGGTCTTTGGTCTCTGTGTGTTTCACCTGGTCTTTGGTCTCTGTGTGTTTTACCTGGTCTTTGGTCTCTGTGTGTTTCACCTGGTCTTTGGTCTCTTGTGTTTTACCTGGTCTTTGGTCTCTGTGTGTTTTACCTGGTCTTTGGTTCTGTGTGTTTTACCTGGTCTTTGGTCTCTGTGTGTTTCACCTGGTCTTTATCTCTTGTGTTTTCACCTGGTCTTTGGTCTCTGTGTGTTTCACCTGGTCTTTGGTCTCTGTGTGTTTTTACCTGGTCTTTGGTCTCTGTGTGTTTCACCTGGTCTTTGTTCTCTTGTGAGTTTTCACCTGGTCTTTGGTCTCTGTGTGTTTCACCTGGTCTTTGGTCTCTGTGTGTTTTCACCTGGTCTTTGGTCTCTGTGTGTTTTACCTGGTCTTTGGTCTCTGTGTGTTTCACCTGGTCTTTGGTCTCTGTGTGTTTTACCTGGTCTTTGGTCTCTGTGTGTTTCACCTGGTCTTTGGTCTCTGTGTGTTTCACCTGGTCTTTGGTCTCTGTGTGTTTCACCTGGTCTTTGGTCTCTGTGTGTTTCACCTGGTCTTTGGTCTCTGTGTGTTTTACCTGGTCTTTGGTCTCTGTGTGTTTCACCTGGTCTTTGGTCTCTGTGTGTTTTTACCTGGTCTTTGGTCTCTGTGTGTTTCACCTGGTCTTTGGTCTCTGTGTGTTTTTACCTGGTCTTTGGTCTCTGTGCGTTTCACCTGGTCTTTGGTCTCTGTGTGTTTTTACCTGGTCTTTGGTCTCTGTGCGTTTCACCTGGTCTTTGGTCTCTGTGCGTTTCACCTGGTCTTTGGTCTCTGTGTGTTTCACCTGGTCTTTGGTCTCTGTGTGTTTTTACCTGGTCTTTGGTCTCTGTGTGTTTCACCTGGTCTTTGGTCTCTGTGTGTTTCACCTGGTCTTTGGTCTCTGTGTGTTTACCTGGTCTTTGGTCTCTGTGTGTTTTTACCTGGTCTTTGGTCTCTGTGTGTTTCACCTGGTCTTTGGTCTCTGTGTGTTTCACCTGGTCTTTGGTCTCTGTGTGTTTCACCTGGTCTTTGGTCTCTGTGTGTTTCACCTGGTCTTTGGTCTCTGTGTGTTTTACCTGGTCTTTGGTCTCTGTGTGTTTCACCTGGTCTTTGGTCTCTGTGTGTTTTACCTGGTCTTTGGTCTCTGTGTGTTTTACCTGGTCTTTGGTCTCTGTGTGTTTCACCTGGTCTTTATTCTCTTGTGGTTTTCACCTGGTCTTTGGTCTCTGTGTGTTTTTCACCTGGTCTTTGGTCTCTGTGTGTTTCACCTGGTCTTTGGTCTCTGTGTGTTTTACCTGGTCTTTGGTCTCTGTGTGTTTCACCTGGTCTTTATTCTCTTGTGAGTTTTCACCTGGTCTTTGGTCTCTGTGTGTTTCACCTGGTCTTTATCTCTTGTGAGTTTCACCTGGTCTTTGGTCTCTGTGTGTTTTACCTGGTCTTTGGTCTCTGTGTGTTTCACCTGGTCTTTGGTCTCTGTGTGTTTTACCTGGTCTTTGGTCTCTGTGTGTTTTACCTGGTCTTTGGTCTCTGTGTGTTTCACCTGGTCTTTGGTCTCTGTGTGTTTTACCTGGTCTTTGGTCTCTGTGTGTTTTACCTGGTCTTTGGTCTCTGTGTGTTTCCTGGTCTTTGGTCTCTGTGTGTTTTACCTGGTCTTTGGTCTCTGTGTGTTTCACCTGGTCTTTGGTCTCTGTGTGTTTCACCTGGTCTTTGGTCTCTGTGTGTTTCACCTGGTCTTTGGTCTCTGTGTGTTTCACCTGGTCTTTGGTCTCTGTGTGTTTTACCTGGTCTTTGGTCTCTGTGTGTTTCACCTGGTCTTTGGTCTCTGTGTGTTTTACCTGGTCTTTGGTCTCTGTGTGTTTCACCTGGTCTTTGGTCTCTGTGTGTTTTACCTGGTCTTTGGTCTCTGTGTGTTTCACCTGGCTTTGGTCTCTGTGTGTTTTTACCTGGTCTTTGGTCTCTGTGTGTTTCACCTGGTCTTTGGTCTCTGTGTGTTTTTACCTGGTCTTTGGTCTCTGTGCGTTTCACCTGGTCTTTGGTCTCTGTGTGTTTTTACCTGGTCTTTGGTCTCTGTGTGTTTCACCTGGTCTTTGGTCTCTGTGTGTTTCACCTGGTCTTTGGTCTCTGTGTGTTTCACCTGGTCTTTGGTCTCTGTGTGTTTTTACCTGGTCTTTGGTCTCTGTGTGTTTCACCTGGTCTTTGGTCTCTGTGTGTTTCACCTGGTCTTTGGTCTCTGTGTGTTTCACCTGGTCTTTGGTCTCTGTGTGTTTCACCTGGTCTTTGGTCTCTGTGTTTTCACCTGGTCTTTGGTCTCTGTGTGTTTTTACCTGGTCTTTGGTCTCTGTGTGTTTCACCTGGTCTTTGGTCTCTGTGTGTTTCACCTGGTCTTTGGTCTCTGTGTGTTTCACCTGGTCTTTGGTCTCTGTGTGTTTCACCTGGTCTTTGGTCTCTGTGTGTTGTAGGAGGTGAAACAGTACTATGAGGACTACCAGCAGATGAAGCAGCAGCAGAGAGAAGAAGCTGAAGCTGAACAGGAAGTAGTTATCAGTAAGTTTGAACACGTTAGCTAGCTGTTAGCTTCCTTTCTGTCTGAGTTCCTCACCTCACAAGGTTTTTCTAACTCCCCATTCAGGAGAGAAGAGGCCAAAGGTGAAGAAGCCTAAGGTGGAGTTCCCTGTGTACGAGCCGTCAGAGGAGAACATTCAGAGTTACTATCAGACATCGTCCATCGAGGAGATCGAGGACCAGATGGACGACTGGCTGCAGGAGCGCAGGGCAGGAAAGAAGAAGGTGTGTGATTGATCAGTTGTACCTGAGTAAAGATCATCAGATAGCAGACCAACAGAGGTGAAGGACAGGTGAGAGTCTCTATGTGTCTGTCCTCAGGCTACAGACTGGACAGAGGACGAGCTCAGCCTCCTAAGCAGGTTGATGGTCAAATTTCCTGGAGGAACTCCTGGTCGCTGGGAGAAGATTGCTCAAGAACTGGGCAGATCAGTGACTGATGTAAGCCTCTTGAAACTGGTTTGAAACTGGTTTGAGACCAGATACTTCCACAGTTAGCAAGCTGCTTCACTTCTTCAACATTAGTAACTGACTGAATCTGTTTTCTTCAACAGGTAACGACTAAAGTCAAACAGGCCAAGGACAACGTAAGCCACAACTCAGGTAAAATTTACTGATGTTCTACTGTTTCTATCAGGGTCAGGTTCTACTGTTTCTATCAGGGTCAGGTTCTACTGTTTCTATCAGAGTCAGGTTCTCCTGTTTCTATCAGGGTCAGGTTCTCCTGTTTCTATCAGAGTCAGGTTCTACTGTTTCTATCAGGGTCAGGTTCTCATGTTTCTATCAGGGTCAGGTTCTACTGTTTCTATCAGGGTCAGGTTCTACTGTTTCTATCAGGGTCAGGTTCTCATGTTTCTATCAGAGTCAGGTTCTCCTGTTTCTATCAGAGTCAGGTTCTCCTGTTTCTATCAGAGTCAGGTTCTACTGTTTCTATCAGGGTCAGGTTCTCATGTTTCTATCAGGGTCAGGTTCTCCTGTTTCTATCAGGGTCAGGTTCTACTGTTTCTATCAGGGTCAGGTTCTCCTGTTTCTATCAGAGTCAGGTTCTACTGTTTCTATCAGGGTCAGGTTCTCATGTTTCTATCAGGGTCAGGTTCTACTGTTTCTATCAGGGTCAGGTTCTCATGTTTCTATCAGAGTCAGGTTCTCCTGTTTCTATCAGAGTCAGGTTCTCCTGTTTCTATCAGAGTCAGGTTCTACTGTTTCTATCAGGGTCAGGTTCTCATGTTTCTATCAGAGTCAGGTTCTCCTGTTTCTATCAGAGTCAGGTTCTCATGTTTCTATCAGAGTCAGGTTCTCCTGTTTCTATCAGAGTCAGGTTCTCCTGTTTCTATCAGGGTCAGGTTCTACTGTTTCTATCAGAGTCAGGTTCTCCTGTTTCTATCAGAGTCAGGTTCTACTGTTTCTATCAGGGTCAGGTTCTCATGTTTCTATCAGGGTCAGGTTCTCATGTTTCTATCAGGGTCAGGTTCTACTGTTTCTATCAGGGTCAGGTTCTACTGTTTCTATCAGGGTCAGGTTCTACTGTTTCTATCAGGGTCAGGTTCTCCTGTTTCTATCAGAGTCAGGTTCTACTGTTTCTATCAGGGTCAGGTTCTCATGTTTCTATCAGGGTCAGGTTCTACTGTTTCTATCAGGGTCAGGTTCTACTGTTTCTATCAGGGTCAGGTTCTACTGTTTCTATCAGGGTCAGGTTCTCCTGTTTCTATCAGGGTCAGGTTCTACTGTTTCTATCACGGTCAGGTTCTCCTGTTTCTGTCAGGGTCAGGTTCTCCTGTTTCTGTCAGGGTCAGGTTCTCCTGTTTCTGTCAGGGTCAGGTTCTACTGTTTCTATCAGGGTCAGGTTCTCCTGTTTCTATCAGGGTCAGGTTCTACTGTTTCTATCAGGGTCAGGTTCTCCTGTTTCTATCAGGGTCAGGTTCTACTGTTTCTATCAGGGTCAGGTTCTACTGTTTCTATCAGGGTCAGGTTCTACTGTTTCTATCAGGGTCAGGTTCTCATGTTTCTATCAGGGTCAGGTTCTACTGTTTCTATCAGGGTCAGGTTCTCCTGTTTCTATCAGGGTCAGGTTCTCCTGTTTCTATCAGGGTCAGGTTCTACTGTTTCTATCAGAGTCAGGTTCTCCTGTTTCTATCAGAGTCAGGTTCTACTGTTTCTATCAGAGTCAGGTTCTCCTGTTTCTATCAGGGTCAGGTTCTCCTGTTTCTATCAGGGTCAGGTTCTCATGTTTCTATCAGGGTCAGGTTCTACTGTTTCTATCAGAGTCAGGTTCTCCTGTTTCTATCAGGGTCAGGTTCTCCTGTTTCTATCAGGGTCAGGTTCTACTGTTTCTATCAGAGTCAGGTTCTCCTGTTTCTATCAGAGTCAGGTTCTACTGTTTCTATCAGAGTCAGGTTCTCCTGTTTCTATCAGGGTCAGGTTCTCCTGTTTCTATCAGGGTCAGGTTCTCATGTTTCTATCAGGGTCAGGTTCTACTGTTTCTATCAGAGTCAGGTTCTCCTGTTTCTATCAGGGTCAGGTTCTACTGTTTCTATCAGGGTCAGGTTCTCATGTTTCTATCAGGGTCAGGTTCTACTGACTGTATGGACCAGGTTATTCTACCAGGGTCAGGTTCTTCTGTCCCGGGTCTGGGTAACCTTGATGTTGTCTTTGTTCAGGTCTGGTGAAGCTTTCAGAGCTGAAGGGACCTCTGCTTCATGTGAGGTCACTTCCTGTGGCTGACAGTGCAATGACTCAGCGAGACGTTGGAGCCTTTAATGAGGGGCAGGAGGTCGAGGAGGAGGAGGAGGAGGAGGAGGAGGAGGATGATGATCAAGGATCAGGGGTCAGGAGGAGGACTAAGAAGTCAGCAGATGTCGGCGACACGAAGGTCAGAGGTCGTCGTCAGAGAGATTTTGACCCAGCAGCAGCGTTGGAGGAGGAGCAGGCTGGGCCTCAGGAGAATAAGGCGAAGGCTGATCCTGCCGTCTGGACTCAGAACCAACAGAAGCTGCTGGAACTTGCCCTGCAACAGTTCCCCCGAGGAACCACAGAACGTTGGGACCGCATTGCCAAAGGGGTCCCAGGAAAGACCAAGGTGAGGATAGACAGGTGGTCTCATGTTCCCCTGTGATGTAGAGATACAGTCATCAACTTTCCCCAGCTGTGATTGGCCGAGAGGTGGGGCTATGACAATATTGTTATTAAAAACACACATGTTGTATTTTTTTTTAATTTTCACACGTAAATCCAACAGTCGTCTGCGTAGAACTGTCAAACTAAAGTCCAAATAAAAACTGAAAAGTGATTTTTAAATCAAAGTTCATTGATGATAAAATAGATAGTAGAGAGCATCTGATGTCACAGTAAATGTGTTGTTGTGTGTTTCAGGAGGAGTGTATGGTTCGTTATAAGATGTTGGCCGAGCTCGTTCAGAAGAGGAAACAGGCCAAAAGCTGATAAAGTGTCCAGGTGAATCATGTGACCTGTCAGCACTCTTTTATTTTCTGTCCAGGTGAGCTGCCTTCTGATTGGACTCAATTACACTTAGTATTTTTTTATCAGTGTGACATGCTGTCTCACCTGCTCAGGTGTGTTTTTATAACTTGTGTCAAAGGAAGCAGGTAACAAGTCTGAACCCACCTGATGTGTGACCTCACAACTTCATGTGCCTTAGCTCCACCCAGCATGCTGTCAATCCACTTCTGTTCAACGTATCAATAAAAGTATTTATTATCTCCTGCAGCCTCTTTTCATTGTGTCATACGTACCTGCAACAGGTGACAGCACCTCCTGCAGCTCAACAGGTGACAGCACCTCCTGCAGTTCAACAGGTGACAGCACCTCCTTCAGCTCAACAGGTGACAGCACCTCCTGCAGCTCAACAGGTGACAGCACCTCCTGCAGCTCAACAGGTGACAGCACCTCCTGCAGCTCAACAGGTGACATCACCTCCTGCAGCTCAACAGGTGACAGCACCTCCTGCAGCTCAACAGGTGACAGCACCTCCTGCAGCTCAACAGGTGACATCACCTCCTGCAGCTCAACAGGTGACAGCACCTCCTGCAGCTCAACAGGTGACATCACCTCCTGCAGCTCAACAGGTGACGGCACCTCCTGAACCAATCACACAAAGCATCCTCTCATTCGCCTTTCATCCATGTACCCAAGAAAAGTGTTTTCCCTTTTTCAAGACTGGTGGATACAGAATCATGTTTACGACGATCTGTCTTAAAGACCCTAACCCAGGAGGCCTTCTTACTGGTCTGTAGTTCAACCAGCCACTTCCTAAGTGTAGGCTTAGAGGTAAAGCTGCTGGATGGAAGTTTCTTTCTTTGTCTATTTATTAAAGTTTCCTTGGCTCTGTATCCTCTCTCCTTTTACTTGAGGATAACTCCTTCCAGACACGCTCTCCATATCGAGGAATAAAGGTAGAGAGGAATTTTACAATGTCTTGATCCATCTAAAACACAAAGCAGCGTGTCATATTCACCTACTGGTAACCATCACAGTCAGAAAGAGAAGGCTGTGAAAGAGAGAGATTGAGTTCTATAAACATTTGAGAACACTTTTTATCCAGAGGTAAGTAACAATACTTTTACCCTCCTCTGCCTATATCAAGAACCTTTCTATTTAAAAAACACTGAAGGAACCTTTTATACTTGTGACATGAGTCAATACTGCCACCTTGTGACCAAAATCTGCAACAACATGTTATTTCACAACAGAAGAAAACAAGGAACACATTAGACAACTTAGAGAACTAGCTCACACCAGTGGAACATTTTAAATGAATGAACGACATATATTAGAGTTTATTATTATGTCATTGTTGTGTTTAACATGCTGTATTTGTGTTATTCTCATCACTGTAAGCTGTTAGTGGAGAAGAGGATCCTCTCAGGAGTGAGCTTCAAAAGAACACTAGGAGAATATTAGTAATAATTATTATAAATGAATATTATATTATTATTATTCACAAAGTTATAGTAGTGAGAAGATTCATGTTCTGTTTGAAACCAGCAGGGGGCGCTAATGCGACATTATGGAGGCCTTTAAAGGCCTTTAAAAATCAACCGAAGAAGAAGAAACTGTCAGTTGGCTTTGGCATTAGCATTAGCATTAGCAGCTGCTATCTGGAGACCAAGCTGCAAATTAAAGTTCAGACGTCACTGCTGCCGTAAGTCAAGTTTCAGAGGTTAACCTTTTGTTTCAAAGAAAACCAGATTTAATAAACTTAAACTGCTGACGTCATGTTTACAGTTAGCATCGGAGCTAACAAGCTGATGTTTTACAACAGGTTCAAAGTGCTTACTGTCCTGTTTAAAGAGTTAGCATCGGAGCTAACATGCTAACAAGCTGATGTTACTGTCCTGTTTAAAGAGTTAGCATCGGAGCTAACAGCTAACAAGCTGATGTTACTGTCCTGTTTAAAGAGTTAGCATCGGAGCTAACATGCTAACAAGCTGATGTTACTGTCCTGTTTAAAGAGTTAGCATCGGAGCTAACAAGCTAACAAGCTGATGTTACTGTCCTGTTTAAAGAGTTAGCATCGGAGCTAACATGCTAACAAGCTGATGTTACTGTCCTGTTTAAAGAGTTAGCATCGGAATGCTAACAAGCTGATGTTACTGTCCTGTTTAAAGAGTTAGCATCGGAGCTAACAAGCTAACAAGCTGATGTTACTGTCCTGTTTAAAGAGTTAGCATCGGAGCTAACAAGCTGATGTTACTGTCCTGTTTAAAGAGTTAGCATCGGAGCTAACAAGCTGATGTTACTGTCCTGTTTAAAGAGTTAGCATCGGAGCTAACAAGCTGATGTTACTGTCCTGTTTAAAGAGTTAGCATCGGAGCTAACAAGCTGATGTTACTGTCCTGTTTAAAGAGTTAGCATCGGAGCTAACAAGCTAACAAGCTGATGTTACTGTCCTGTTTAAAGAGTTAGCATCGGAGCTAACAAGCTAACAAGCTGATGTTACTGTCCTGTTTAAAGAGTTAGCATCGGAGCTAACATGCTAACAAGCTGATGTTACTGTCCTGTTTAAAGAGTTAGCATCGGAGCTAACAAGCTGATGTTACTGTCCTGTTTAAAGAGTTAGCATCGGAGCTAACATGCTAACAAGCTGATGTTACTGTCCTGTTTAAAGAGTTAGCATCG